GGAGGCGCGCGGCGGGCGCGGGTCGCGAGGGGGGGGGGGGGGGGGGGGGGGAGGGGAATAATTTTTAGGCAATTTTAACACAAAGTTTTAATCTACATTTGAAAAGCTGTTTTATTTTATATATACACACTATGTATAAAATAAATTAAAAAGGGGAAGGGGAAATAGCTTATGCTTCAAATTAACACAGACCAGTAGTTCCATAAATGAACATTTTACCGTCTTTGTGGTAAAAAGCTGACATAGAAGTTCAAAACCATACAATGCTTATAAATAGAAAGAGTTCAAAAGATATTTTTTTAAAAAATGGAATTTAAACATCATTTTCCCTTCCCCTACAATACACTTTAGTTTTGTATGTCATAGCATCAATACATTTACAGAGTATCTGGACGTCACATCCACACAAGAATTCGTAACAAAGCAGGTAAAAGTGCTAGCGGTGTTAAAGTTTAGGACTTCTCCCAAATAACTCTACCTGCTCCTCAGCCTTCTCCTGAAATGAAGGCTATCAACATTCATCACCCAGTTTGAGGTATGGGCAGAAGAAAAAACTGCAACTGGTACTTCCCGCCCCGCCTTGCCTCTGCTAAAATACAGCAGCAATCTATTGATCTGGTAATTGACAATGGTGGTGCACAATCTCTTACCTCCATTCAGCTTGTGTATAATTTAATCACTATATAAAAAAAAGTTATTTTGAAACATAGTATTAATGCTGAACTTAAAAAACAACAACAAAAAAAAAAAAAACCAAAAAACCCCAACTTTAAATCTTCTTTGCAACCATGTTTAAATGTTCTTGTTCCAGACTTAAAGCTTCACATAAACACCGGACAGAAGGATGACAATTTTAAACCAAGAGAGCACCTAAAAATATACTATAGGTAAAAATGAAATCAATCATCTCTCCACTTCATAAAAATGTAGAAACCCTGTCAGCAACAGTAGTAGACTCAGAAGGAACAAGGTGAAAAGGAGCATCTAGAATACTCAAGAGGCTTGCTACGCTACTTCTCTTTATTGCCCATTCTCTCATTTGTATGGACGGCCACTGCACGACAAGAAGCCTGTGATAGTTCTCTTGTCTTCCTTTCACCACTGCTGCCAGCTGAAGTCGTCATTGCTGCCAAAGACCAAGAAAAATCCTAGGATCGTGGCAAAGATGACTGTATTCCCCGTAAGAACAAGTGCACACGCGCCCCAGTAAATCTGTGAACAAGGGGGATTTAGTTAGACACATTTTGAACTGAATACCGACAAAAGGTTAACGTCTTAATGTCAGATTCTAGACAAAGCTCACCAACAGGCCCGTGATGCAAGAAGGCGGTATCTCATTATTTGTGGTTACGCCAAGAAGGCTGGGTTTACCCAAAATGACTCGACCAATTCACAGTTAGCCAAGCAGCACTGCAAGTTTCTTCTAGCCGTGTTCAAAGCACTGGCTAGCAGGCACAGCTGTTTTGCCGTAACATCCACAAACAGTAAAGTGAGGCTAGGCAACAGCATCACACGCATCTGCAGCCCAGCTATACTTGCTAACCAGGCTATAAGACTGTTTTAAACAGACATTTAAGGATGCAGGTCTTCAAAATGCCAGCAGATATCCCAGTAACAAAACAGGAGGTGAATGTTTTCCAAGGAGAGTAAGTGGATTACTCAACGGGTGTGAGGCATTCAAACGGACCGTCTGAGCTGTTCTTGCCTAAAGAGATTTTATGAAAATGCACTCCATGTTTTTTGACTTAGTAGCGCGCTCTGAAATTCACACAAACAAGGTCATCTTTTAAAGGATTTTAGTGAAAAGCCGTATACTGGGAAAGATGTAGTGACAACTGGGAAGTTTGCAAAATAACACCACATTATCAGTTACAGTGAGTGCAGAAACGCATCATTTGTTCATGCTTCTTTAGCCCAACCGTTCCACAAATTGCCTTCAAAGTGTTCGATACACTTTTATATTTGGTTACTTGCCTGTTAAGTTTTCACACTATTTTCTATCTCGTTTTCTCTGCATTGCATATAGGCTGTTAGGGTTTATTCCATGACCACGTGAAGCAATTGGCAATCACGACGTTCTGCCGTGCTTCCATTTCTAGTATTCATTTTTCTTGCCAAAAGAACTCTTACTGTGTTTCCACTGCAAGCATCTTAAGTATGCATTTATAAGAGTTGCTTAGTGCATGAGAGCTTTACCTTCAGTAAAAAAACATAAAGAACAAAGTTTTCTAGGAAAAAAAAAACCCCAACCACAAATCATAGATTGAAATATTACTAACCAGTTCTGCTCTTGCAAACACTATCGGTAGCCCAAATGCTGAGACAACAATGCCTGTTGTAAGAAATATTGCTAGCTCCTTGCAGGCATTACTTGTAGCATCTGTGTCATCTACTAATCTTCTTGCTATGCAGTACGGGATAGGAGAAAGGATATAAAAAAACAGAACAAACAGTGGCCAGTACTGGCTGAAAAAGAAAGGAGAAGAAAAGTTAAAGTTAACTTGATTTACTCCCTGTTCTTCCCGAAATCAACGCAAGGCATTTTCCCCATCCAGCATCCACATTCGGGAAAGACAGACACAAGCCCAGAGAAAACAAATCCTTCGCTTTGGAACAAGCTGACGTTAATCCAACACACCGTGTTCGTGAGCGGCTTCAGCTGACCTCAGCGGCAGAGAGCTCACGAACAGGATATTCATAAAGCGAGATCTCACTAAGCAAGCCCAAATCTAAAGCCACCTCACGTGATGAGCTTAGCTCTTAAGTTTAACCCGTCAGCTTTACTTAAGAATTGCAGAGATACCTTTGTAGAGCCCTCTCGTCATTTCGCCCGTAAGCTCTCAGCGCGCCTACGTGGAACGGAGTACCGTTCTCAGCCAACACCCACCCGCCACGGGGAACCGAGACTCGGGTTTTGCTTTTTTAAATCTGAACGCAACCAACAAAAACCTGCAAAAATTACACCATTGTATTTGGCAACGTTTTCTTTCATTGCTTGCAGCTCACCGGACTAGATTTCTCAGACACACCAATGCGGCTGCACATTGTTTCAATAAAACTTTACTGCAGTTTGAAGGGTGACCGCATAGTCATCTCCTTCCTAAGGGTTTGTGTCACCAGCCCTGGTTTTATAACAAAAGAAAGCTGGCGTAAGAAAGCTAGTCACGTATGTGACTATTGCAGAGAACAGCAATTCGCAACCACTAACAGGACTATCGACAGGATATCCGATACTTGTTTAACTGTAATTAAAGTTGATTTAAAAGATTTTCTGTAAAGTCAGCACTCACTTGCAAAGGGTCAAAGCCACAGGCCTAGCTTTCTGAACTTTTGGTCTACTGCTTCTTATCTCCTGGACTGAGAGGCAGGAATCAAGAGACCGAAAGCCCAGAGAGCAGCTGCAATTACTCCAGAGGCTGCACTACCAGGTGTGGTGCGCAGCCAAGGGTCCGCCTGACAGTCACCCACAGCCCAGCTACCACTAAGCAGCCAGAGAAAATGCAAACGCTTCCCTGATGATACCAGGTGCTTGCCACCTGCTTCAGGAAACGCTACCTGCTTATCAGCCACGGAGGGACAATATCGGAGACATGTTAGGACGGTGCATTCTTTAACAGTTTGCAGCCAGGCCCGGTAATTTAACTTTTGTCGCCTTTACTTTTATGGCGAATTAACTCCTGGACGGTCTTTTTCCCCACCCCAATCTTTTGAAGCCAAAAAAAACCCCCACCCCTCCTACACACACAGAGGACTTATCAGCCCACAGTTATGAAAGCCAGACCGTTCTGGGGTTACAGACATGCAAAACGACACGAAGACTAGGAAGAGAGCGCACGTTACTTGTACTGGGGAAGGGCACATCCGAGCATCAAGAACATCAGTCCGACCGCTCCCCCAAAGGACAGGCTGATCAAAGCTACAACGAGAACACAAATCGACAGCGGATGAAGGAGGGGCTCAACACGCCGCATGAAACACCGACCGCGACCTTCGAACGAGGCCGAGGCTCCGCCATAGCGAGCCCAGGGTGGGGCCGGGCGCGCCGCTCGCCCGCCGCCGGGGCAGAGCTTCCACCGATCCCCCGGGCCCGGGGGTGGCAGGGCGGGAAGCCCGGGCTCCTCTTTCGGGGCGGAGGGCGGCGCAGGGCAGCCCCGGCCGCCCGGCAGAGCGGGGCC